ATCACCCAAGACCGCCTCCGTGGTGTAATGGTTAGAGCGTCCGCCCGGAGAGCGGAAGGTCGCGGGTTCGATCCCCGACCGCGTCATACAAAAAGACTGGACTGTCTGGTCCAGACTCGATTATTTACAGACCGCCGTCATATAGCTGGAATATTACTGAGTGCTGGGATATTGCTCACTCCACCGTCGGTTAGTTCAAGACATCAAGGTGTTTACCATACAAACCTAAACTGACATGAATGTCATATTTGTATATTTGTATTTACAACATAACGGATTCATTAACAGAGTATATATTCAAGATTTTGAGGTAGGTCACTTGTTTGTGGGTCCTACTGAACGTTTAAAGCTAACGTGAACCTCACTACCTGTTGTGCATGCATTGTTGCCTCGTCAAGTACTCACTTATGCTGACAGGATACTAGTTTGTATGGCAACGGTAACCTTCCATTAAATTAACGTTGTCAGAGTTATATATGTTTACAGTCTATAGTCGTGGCGACAGGCTATAAACACTTACGTATAATGGCATAACTGTCTGCACGCAGACGTGCAGGACATGCTTAACTGTTACTGATATTGCTCCGGATTGCAATCCACATTTTTATGCCCCGGGACAAGCGAGGTAACTGAAAGAGTGGGAGCTGCGGTTTTCCATGTGCTTCACTGCGCTGAAGGTGACACGGAACGAAGTTGACAGGTTTTATGGGTTTACTAAAAATACCTTTCGCGAAAACCTGGTGTCATTACTGATAATCAGTAATCTGTGTTTTTCACAGCGACTTTTTCATTTACGCTGGGTATTATACGTGTTATATTATACCATAAGTTTACCTTAACTGGGTCCGCCCGGAGAACGGAAGGTCGCGGGTTCGATCCCCGACCGCGTCATACCAAAAGACGTTAAAATATGGTACTTGTTGGTCCCTGCCTGGCGTTCGGCATTAATGGGTACAACAAGGACTGGTCGGCTCGGAGTCAGTATAATGTGTCTGAGTGGGGTATTCATGTTTCACTGCGGCGTGGTATCTCAGTGTGTTAGCACTATAAAACCAGCTTAAGTCTGGGCTAGTACAAACAGCCGCACATACACATACACACGCATGAGTGAAATATTCTCGAGCACGACGTAAAACCCAATTTCACCTCACCTCACCTTCAATATCACCCACATAAATATTTATCCTGTTTATATCACCATAATAGACATGGTCAGCCACATCATCATTGTCAATCATATGTCCATTCTGATTTGTATTATCATCAACAATATTACTGGTTAATGTTAGGTTCATGTCAGGGTTACTTTGCAATGCACCAGCAACATCATTATCAACATGTTCAACATCACCCTCAGAAATATTTGTCCTGTTTCTATCACTGTCATAAACATGATCAACCACCTCGACATTGTCAAGAATAAGTGCTTTCTCATTTGCATTGTCATCAATAGTACTACTGGTTAGTATTAGGTTCAAGTCAGAATTACTTTACAAAGTTCCAACATCATCGTATTGAGTATCCGGGTTAACATCGACTCTCTGCAAGCCTTGTTTGTTCTAAGAGACGACTTAAAGATGAAACAGAAAAAGGATCATTTGGGCACAGTGACTTGGTTGATACATGTCAGCGTTTCCTTGTTGCGTAGATCGATGCTCACGATGTCGATAACTGGATTGTGTTTCCAGACTAGACTAATTTCTGACATTTTACAGTGCTTTCAACAACAAACAGAACCTGCAAGTGTACGCGTCTTTTAAGATAATATCCCGTAAATTACGCAGGGCGGAACGACTCGGGAATAGCAAGCAATCAGAACAAGAACTTACATAATACAAGTGTATACATCGAATGTTGAAGGGTTGATAGGGGAGCCTTGTGGTTAAAAGCCTTTGTTCGTCACGCCGAAGACCCGGGTTCGATTGATCACATGGGTACAATGCACGAATGAAAACCCATTTTGATGTTGAACCCCGCCTTGATACTTTTGCTTAAAGTCACTCAATCCACACGAATCGTATTTCTATGAATTTGTATTTTAAAAATCGTATTTCTTTAGGCTGCCGCTGTTTGAAGGGTTGTACACTGATTCACAATTCATCTGGCTCACTGGTTACACCTGTTATGTGTTTTTGCACTTTTTAAGTGTTTTGTTTGTTACGTACAATGTGATTAATATAATACCAATGCCATAGAAGACCGCCAAACGTTTCTAGCGGCCGAGCCTCGTTTTCAGATTTCCATGATTTCCAGATATCCGTTTGTCAGAGCACGCTGTACGACAGAGCACTCTGCCCAACGTGTTTGCAAGGATTAGAAGGAGCGTAGTGTTGCAATATACAAGTGATTAGATGTATCAAATAATACTGATTAATATTTATATCCAGTTGAATGAGTTGGTCTAAAAATTCTGGACTGGTTATTGTACTACGTTACGCAATAAGACCGAACCCAGTCAGCAGGAAACGAGACTGTTGAGTAATCAATGTTTTGACTTGACACGTGTATATATTTGATGACAAATTTAGAAACAAGAATTATATGAAACTAGTATGTATATCTGATGTAAAATTTGAGATCAGTTTCTTCGGTATTTTCTGCTCATTTCGTTATGCTCTGCTTAACTTAAATCATATCGGAAACCTAACGATATACAAGGCTATAAACATCCCATGAGAGAAATGGGTTGTCGTTTCTGATTCATTTCTTTTTTTGAGAGTTTACTTGTGTACTGAAGTGTCTCTTTAAAAATCAGTCATACCTTTACCATATGGATTAATGCATAAATAATGCGCGTGTCTGAGATCATACGCTGGTATTCACACGAACATCTATGAGGCACATGGGACCACTTGTTCAACCACGACGCATTCTTAGCCAACCATATGTGGAAATCACGTGATGCAAACGTGACAGACGTGACTTGAATGGCCAACACAAATTGGGGACCATGCTCTGAACCTAGACTGTAACACTCGAGGTTACGCCAGGACCTCTCAGTTAATCGGTCAGTTGGTAAGTAATAAGATTAATTTCATTACAGTGAAATCCAGACTCGTTCTGTAAATTCACGTTAGGTATTTGATGGAGAGAATGTCTCATGATCACAGTAACATCAATATTTGACAGTGATCAGTCAAAAACCCATACTTATCAGTCAGTGAGTGAAAGCCGTCAAGAACGCGTTTAGTGCTGACGAAGCTAAAAACATTATCGGGGCAAACGAGTATTTGGACCCAGGTTCATAGCAGACCCAAGGGACGCAACTCTAAGCTAATAATCTTTGTTTATTTACCATGTAGCTTCACAAATTACCTCCATCCATATATACTTGTTCTATATTTCACAAAATACGTTCTCTTTGTCCACGCTAAATTGCAACTACGATTAGTATTGTGAAGATGTGGTCCGTTGTAGAATATCGATATAAGAATCAATTCAAATTCAAGTAATGTGTGCAGTACAAAATTCATAAAAGGAGATTTGTTAGTTAAGGTGCTTTTAACAAACAATTACTTAAGACTAATGTTGTTTCTACAAACGAAGGTGCTGTCAGTAAGACTTCATATGTTACAGTAACTTCATTTTCGCTGCATTTCGAAATCTTCGATATTGCAAACGAGGTCATACAAGTAGTCTGTGGATGGTATGATTGCACTTATCAACTACGCCACAGTTTCCAGAATAAAGGCTATTGGCACATTAACAAATCTCTTTAATGTAAAATGAAAGCATTAATTTCTAGTAGAATTGAAGGACGCGTTCATGGCATGCTAACCTTTAGCGTGTGAGCCAATGTGTGTAAACTTACAACACACCCAGCGTATTTACTGAATATTTGGTGTTTCAAGGTAGTACAAAATGTGTTTATGACGCAACAAGATGTAATAATACAATGTGTTCGCAACACCGGTATTGCCCCCAATATCCGCACCCATTACAACATGAACAAAAGCAAGTCAGTTAATGCTCATTACATGAAGAAGAATACTGACAATTATTATGGATATACAACTTCTTTTATTCTGTGGAGGAGACCTTTCGACATAGGTTCTAATGTCGTTGTCAAGCAAGTGATAACGACATTAGAACATATTTTTTTTGTTTAAACATATTTTTATTCCGTCAAAGCAGAAACTTGGATATGCGAACAAGCCTAGTGGCGTATATAAACGCCGCTCCAGTACACGGTTCCAATATAGCTGGATACATAATTGAAATAGTCCGACAAGAAAAGAATAAAACTGAGACAAATTAACACTCAGAAAAATGATTGAATAATAAATATTTGGTTATGGTGTTGGTTGTACCTAGCAACGAAAAGAGCTGCCGCAGAAAATCAAGTTATATAAATCTTGTCTTGCATTGAATATACATGTATATGTAGAGGGGATAATCACAGGAAGCGCTTACTTTTAGAAATGAACTGGTGTAATGAGTTGAGAATGTCACAATTTGTTGAGTTATCCAATGCGCCGTTACCGTATAAGATAGTTTTCACATCGCATCCTTGAATATAAAAATACATCGTTGTTCTTAAATTTTGATAGTTCCGACATGTAAAAAGGTAGTGAATGACGTCTTCGTTATAATGACCACATGAACAGCTGTTTCTGATATTTGTCGATTATATCTGTCTGCGTTCAGATCACTACAGCCGAGCTTGAGGCGACAATGGATGATTTGACAAAATCTAGTCCCAAAAGTTAAACATATGTCGAAACGTCGCCTCCACAGAATAAAAGAAGTTGTATATCCATAATAATTGTCATTATTCTTCATCAACTCAACTTCTAAAATGCCCATCAAAGAAGCTCATTACATTGTTCACTCCATTATAGCAAAACTAATTCTAAATCAATTTCGGGCACAGAAGAGGCCTCCTCGTCAAAATCACTGTGAATTTGAGTCCCGTTGATAAGGTTTGTAAGAATCTGATAACGGCGGTTTTGAATCCAAACTTTGTTCCCTTATTGGTATTGGCGTTATTCAGGAAGGTCATGGCTCACCAACAGTGGCGCAGTCAACTGGACTACATCGTCACACTGCTTGGGTTCAGTGTGGGGTCCGGAACATTCATCAAGTTCCCTTTCTACTGCATGCGCAATGGAGGAGGTAAGCTGTCTCGCTTAAACTATTGTGTACATCCTACTTCAATAAATGTCGCCGTGTATCATCTTCAAAGCATTCTATTCGATCCATTAGTCATCATCTTCGAAAATGATCAATACCGTTTTTTCAAATAAGCCTCACCCATTGATCACATTGGATTAAAATTGTTTTAGTGACTTGTCCTTTGTTTGTTTAGTTAACATATGATGGGCGGCTTCTTTATTCTCGTGGAAGTTTTTAGTTAACATATGATACCATTAATCTTTTATGTTTATTTTGTTCCTTAATCTTAGTCTATTATCTTCATTCCTATGTATGGACTCTTTCAACCATTTTCAACTCTGTTTTTCTTAAATGTGGTTTTCCCGGGCTATAACCGTATCGATAATCAACGTATCACTACGGCTTAACTTTCTAATGCATTCTATTCGATCTATTAGTCATATATCATCTTCGAGAAAGAAAGACTGACTGACTGAGTTTGGTTTAACGCCGCTTTTAGCAATATTCCAGACACATCTCGGCGGGGGACACCAGAAATGGGCTTCACACATTGTACCCATGTGGGGATTCGAACCTGGGTCTTCGGCGTGACGAGCCAACGCTTTAACCATTAGGCTACCCCACCGTCCCCGAGAAAGAAAGACACAGTAGTACAAGAAACATACCAATATGGCTATCTGTTGCTTTACATTCGATTTATTTAGTCATATATTATCATCGAGAAACATAAACAAATGTTGACAAGAAACGTACCAATATGTGGATGTCCGGGATGCAATATTACCAGCCGCAGTATATCGTTCATGAGCTGCTAAGTTAGTAGGGCGGTGGGGTAGCCCAATGGTTAAAGCGTTCGCTCGTCACACCGAAGACCCGGGTTCGATTCCCCATATGGGTACAGTGTGTGATGCCCATTCCTGGTGTCCCCCGCCGTGATATTGAGGGAATATTGCTTGAAGCGGCGTAAAAGTAAACTCATTCACTAAGTGAGTAGGTATTATTATGACATGTCACGAAGCCATAATTATTTTAAAAGTAATAAAGATTAATTTTCGTTTATGTGACAAGGATATCTACTTTGTGAAACCAGTTGATATTGTAAGTCAGAGTTACAGGGTTCAGTTTGATTTGACATGCATATGGTGGCAACTGTTTTATGGGTTCATCGATGAGTGATCATTTAAGTTCATACATTGCCATGTGATGATATATTAATCTGTTCTTGAATATTGTCGTCTTTCATGCTTTCACACAGGGGCGTTCTTGATACCTTTTGTCCTGTTTACAATTATTGGAGCCATCCCATGTGTGTTTCTGGAGATGTCGATTGGTCAGTATTCTCAGAGTGGTCCCATCAAAGTCTGGGACATATGTCCAGCATTTAAAGGTAAGGAACCCGTTTGCCAATTGTACTGAGTTACATTTTACTACCGACACAATAATTCCACAGAGAGAGAGAGAGAGAGAGAGAGAGAGAGAGAGAGAGAGAGAGAGAGAGAGAGAGAGAGAGAGAGAGAGAGAGAGAGAGAGAGAGAGAGAGAGAGAGAGAGAGAGAGAGAGAGAGAGAGAGAGAGAGAGAGAGAGAGAAAAATTATTTTATTATTGTGTCACGCAGATGTTTACAAAATATATCAAATCTTCTGTATCACATATGGAACATCTGCCCGGCCTTTACAGGCCTACGAGACACATACAATCCATAAAACATTGCATAAATAAAATATAGCTCCATACACACATAGTAAAACTAACAGAAATGGTGGGTGGTGTTATATCGTACGTTATAATGATTTCCTTCTTTTAAACATAAGTAACACTGTAGCAGCTAAGGGATATACTAGATTTTATCACATTCCATAATAAAAATGGTCTGGGCAACAGGAGTCATCAAGCTAAACAGAGGGTTAAGAGAGCGTGCCTTTTGCCATAAAACTGACCTTATATCGGAATATATATCACACTTCGATAGAAAATGGACCTCGTCTTCAACTGTACTATTCTTACAATATTTACATAGCCGTTGTTCAAGAGGGGTTTTAGGCCGTGAAAAACGACCAAGCTCAATCTCCAGAGGTAAAGTTCCACATCGTAGTTTGGCAAGGGTACTTCGTTGCGACCTATTGAAAATAGTGCAGACATATGTTGATACTGATAAAGAGGTCTTAAACAGCCTGAACGTTCGTAGTTACCAACCCATCTCGCCTCTTACGGCTAAGTTCGGGGTGTTACAACCTACACCCAAAAAGAAACGACATGCCCTATTTTGGATAGCATTTATACAACTGAATTCACGTGTTCCCCAAACAGCAGAGCCATACGATAGTATTGGTTGAACTAAGTTATCATAAAGTTTGTTAAACACATCATAATGCATCCCACCAGCTGCTTTGAATTTACTAATTAAAATACCCAGTGCTCTTCCAGCAGACTTAGCGATTTCCTTTGCAGTGAAATTAAGATCAAGGTGTTCTTGTAACCACAGTTCAATATATTTATATTTATAGATATTAAATAACTAGGCTACCCCACCGCCCAGATTTTGAGAGAATGACTGAGTTTAGTTTTACGTCACTTTTAGCAATATTCCAGCCATATCACGCCGGGTGACACCAGAAATGGGCTGATTTTGAGAGAGAATACCTTGACACAATCAGCCAACATGCACCTGAGTACATGACAGGTCCACGTCGATATGAATTGTACTTGCGGGTTAGACAATCTTGATGCCTGAATGGAGAACGCCAAAGTCACTAATATTTTAGTTGTATCATAACCGAATGTGAATAGTGGTACCATGTAAAGCAGTGGTTTTGATAAATATAGGTTATCACGCGAGTGTGTTTTGGGATGGTGAATATCCTTCATTAGGAGTAATCATTGTAGTACATATAATACATACTGTTTATTCCTAATGCAGGATATTAACAACCCCAAAACACACGAGTGTGATAACCTATTTATCATACAATGTCATTTTTGCTTTATAATTTTAAAAAATGCGATTTCAAATGCCACAAATCATGAAACTAAACTTCGTGGAATGTCTATGACGTCACAAATATGTGCGGAGTAATACGTTACGTCACAAGCCCGGTGACATAATTTTCTCCTGATCACTCATGCTGACTGCGTTAGGTCATCTAGTTCCCAGTAAGCTTTTATGCTAAAGCACGTATTGTTGTCAACAAATCTTAGCTTACGTCTAAGAAACTTCAGAAACCTTCAATTAACCCTTTGAACAACAAACTACGCTTTAATGTTCGCGTGACATTGTGCACCTGGATTCCTATGCCGTTCTCTCGCAAACAGTGACAGTCGGTCGGGGAACTGATGTTGGTATCTTCGTAAGCCTATGAATTTCTATCTTCGCTTTGTAATCTACTACATCTATCATAACCAGGCATGAATTTTCTTGGATCAAAGCACTGACAGTACCGTAACCACGCCCGTCGATCCGGACACGACCGCCGACCCTTGACGCCATGTTTGTTTACACTGTGAAAGTAGACCCTGAAATTTGCATAGGACCTCTCTAATTTGCATCGATATCCGTATATGACCCCAACGGATACCGAAAATATCCGTTGGCTTTATCCTGCCGAGAACACTATCCATTGTATGATAAGGAGCAAATATCCATATACCTGCACCCTTGCTTTTCAGTGAAAAGTGTAATACTGTTGTTGTAGTGCGAAAACAATTCCGTCGTAACTAGTTCCAATTCCTAGGTATTGGCGTGGGATGTGTGGTGTGTTCGTGGATGTTCTTCACCTACTACAACGTCCTCTTCGCCTGGATCACGTACTACTTCTACAACTCCTTTTCCTCCCACCTGCCCTGGGAACACTGTGATAACGCCTGGAACACCCCCGGCTGTATCCCGGTCAACCACAGCTCAACCCTATACAACATCACTGGCTCGTTTCCTGACACTGCTAATCTGACTTCCAACTCTACTCCTGGTATGTCAGCTGCCGAAGAATTTTGGAGGTGAGGTACCCCATTTTCCCACTGAGGATACAGGGCATACAGACAGGCTAATGTACGCAAAAGAAATCATAAGGAAGGGATTTTTCTATTGATGTCAATTTCTTTATTATGAGGAACACAACGTTTCGGAGTATATCCTTACTTCTTCATCAGGTGAATGATGGTATGAGGCAGAGAGCATATACAAGTACATGTAATAAAAACAAAAGTAATGAGACAACAAAGTTGCAGGTTAAACAATGGAGCAATTGGAAGCCAGTACTACCAGTAAATTAGAGTTGAAAGGACGCCAACACTCAAAGTTAATTAGCACCGATTGACTGGTATCACTGGCTTCCAATTGTTCCATTGTCTAATCTGCATCTACTGTTCACTACTGGGAATTGAATTCAACTATCAAAGTTAAAAAGAACGTTAAGACAACGTACAATATGTTAGCATCAAATAACTTACCTTGTGGCGACGTAAAAACGACGTATCACAACGTCAGGACACAACGTCATGACAACGTAAAATGGAGTCCACAGAATAACGTTGTAACAATGAAAGCATAAGGTTGTGACAACGTGAAATTGTTAGCTTGGTATGTGATACTAATTGAACGATGTCAGAACGTCGATATACTTGAAGATAAAATAAACTTCTTGGTCCTACTGAAAACGTATGAAACGAGCTGCAGATTGCTACGCCCTGTCCTTGTGGTAGCTCATAAACATATCAGCAATGTTCTTCTGAGTAGTGTAAAAGTCTTGTGTTTGCACCCGCCAAGACTGTTACTCAGGGCAAAAGATGAAGGTGCAAGGCTATGGATCACGCACGTTCTCCAGACGTTTTTGTTGTTGAACAATAAATTTACCTTTCTTTAACACGTGCCAGTTTTGGTCCGTTGCTTTCATTCTGACGGGCGACATAACTGATTACTGGTCACATGTTGTTTATTGACATTGCGTGGCACATAACAATGTTTTTTAATGAACTAAATATTTATTCCAGCAATATTGTATTCGGCTATTTCAACAATGCACGCAGTTTACCTTTACATTTGAAGTGGCGATCCTTAGCAAACTTTGACTAGAATGGTATCACTGTTTAACACACGTGATAGTTGCTTGAACTTATTCTGCCAAATGACACGACCGGAACAGTTGCTTGGCCCAAGGTGACAAACCGGCACACGTTTAATTAATGCACTAGCAGGATTTGACATGAGGATGTGTACACGCATACAAAAACTGTTCCGAGAACCTTTTTCTGCCGGCATTTGACTACAGACACCTTAAGTGTGTCGAGTAATTGATGACTGACACGCTTAACTTTTTCCAACTAAATTTTTCTGAGCACATATATAATAACCATTGCCGCTCTTGTTTATTGTTTATATAAAAGATAAAGTTGAAGGTATAGAGAGTAATATACGCCATTTTGCGGATGATACTTCTTTTTATGCGATCATTGGTCATCCTGGGGTAACTACTATCGTAATGAACGATGATTTACAGCGAATTGCCGAATGGGCAGAAAAAATGGCAAGTATCTTTTAATCCCAATAAGACAGTCAATATGCTTTACTCGTAAATTGCAACCAACCTCAATGCCGAACCTAACAATGAATGGTAATGTCATTAATTCCGTACAAAGCTATAAACATTTAGGTCTTATACTTCAGCATGATTGCTCATGGAATGAACACATTAACGACGGTGCTAAAAAGTTGCACCAATAGTGAATTGTCTGAGAAGTCTCAAATATTGTTTAAACCGAAATACATTAGAAACCATGTACAGACAGTTCATATTACCAGTTTCTGATTATTGCAGCCATATATGGGATAATTGTACTAAACAGCAAGCAGATATACCTGAAAAGCTCAATCTTTATACTCTAAGAACCGTGTGTGGTGCCAACATAAAATATACAAAGAAACTTATTGTCACCCGTTGTGTCGTAGAAGGTACCTTCATAAAATGACTATGTTTTGCAAACTGGTTAATAACACTACGCCAAGTTACCTTAGTAACCTTGTTCCGCCTAGAGTATCAGATATCGTTGGTTATAATCTGCGCGGCGATTCACATCTTCAGACTATAAACTGTAAATCTGTAAATTATGCGAGGTCCTTTCTTCCAGATACAGTTGAATTATGGAATTCCTTTCCAGCTGAATAGAGCATCACCGTGCCTATCTAGATTCAAAAATGTACTTTTAAATGATTCTAATATTTTGACTTAAATTTCGGTAGCAGGTTTTGTCAAATCATACATTCTCGTCTCTGACTTGAATGTAGTGACCTTAATGCGCCCAAATATGAAAGATTTCTATCTCCAACATCATCTTGCTCTTGTGGCCACAACTATGAAGACTCTGCTCATCATTTCTTCTCATGTACTCTTTACAACGATATACGTCAAATTATGTATTTTTATACTAAAGGATTGGACCTAAAATCAATTTTGTTTGGAAACCAAAGCTGTTCCTCGATAGTAAACAAAAAACTTTCAATTTCAGTGCACTCGTTCATAAATGTAACAGGTAGATTTGATGCAACATACTTTCTTCATATGACATATACTGTTTAACAATGATTGGCGTTATTCTCGTTTTGCAACATTTATATATCATTCACATTGTACATTCATCATGACATGTTTACTCTTCCTTCCATTGTATCCCGGAGCGGTATTCATGTAAGCTTATGCTTGTTTACCAATCCGCGGCCGGTTCCTTTTCTGGAAATAAATATGTTTGAATCACATTGGCGTATTCATGTGTATTAGCGATAGTTGACTCAAATCAGATTATTCAGTTTTGCCAGTTATGGAAAGAGACTAAAGTCCAAAGCACCTTTCAGCAATATTCCAGCAACATCCGATACATTAAACATTGGCGTATTTATGTGTATTATCGATAGGTGACTCAAATCAGATTATTCAGTTTTGCCCGTCATAGAAAGAGTCCAAAGCAGATTTAGCAATATTTCAGAAATATCACGGCGGGGACATCAGAAGTGGACTTCACACTTTGTACCCATGTGAGGAATCGAACCTGGTCCCTTACTAGAAAAACCGCCAGAGTTAAAGGGCCACTGATCCAGAGCGATTATTGTTTCCAACCAACAGTCTAATTACAAAACCTAGATGCAAACTGGTCAGCCTCTGTTCCCTCGACCGTGACGGACACGGGGACTGGGTTACTGGCACCCTGGCAGAATTTCATCAACCTAATCATTGGGACATTGCGAAGGGTGGATGCCCATCAGATGCCGTTATTTGAAAATATTCCCGGTAGTTCTTGTCTGATTGTAATAAAGTATCCCAGCAGTGTAGGCTTTTTCAGATTTTCAAATTTGTGGATGGTATAGTGACTGATCCAATTTGATCCTATTTCTGTGTTTTTTTACCTCAATATTTAATCATGTAAAAATATGATGCCTATTACGCATGCTATGCTATCAAAAAAACACATTTGATATATTTGAATCCATAAACCAAACAGCCCCACTTTGCCATTGCAAAATAAATCTGAAATTTTACTTAGGTACAGATTTTAACTAAGACATAGCAACTGCTTATATATATTTCCTATGTAACAATGAAGTTCTGTTCGTTTCCTCAAAACAGTGTCTGCCCATAAGTTTTTTTCAGGCAATCACACTTGCATACAATTTAGCGATTACTACTCTCTTGCTGTAACCCTTGTTTGGTGGTAAACCTACACATGTTATTTGTCATCATTCACTTGATGGTCAGTTAATGGATTTATACCAGGTATAATTAGTGATATCACCAATCAGATTACCCGACAAAGGTTCCCATTTGGCATTTCTTGTGTCTGGAGTAAAATACTCATCATTATAAATTGAGGTCTGATGTGGCAAATGCATTACATCTTATGTAATATGCGCATGGAAGTGCAGCAAGAGGAATTATCAGCTGAGTTACAAAACAAACATTGATCAAAGAATTAACCGATAACACGATGATTGATTAATTGCTTTTATCCTGCACAGCAGATTTGTCAAAAGGTAGTGTTTATATATGTAGATTTACTAATCTATACTGAATACACTCTGTCGTAAAGTCTCTTTGTAAAAACAACGTCCTTCCTTCAAAGGATTGACCGCGAATACATTGCGTGATTGCTCATTATTGGCTAACTAAATTACTTTTTTAAAGAATGGCGGACATTAGTTGCCAGGTATGCTATCTTGGGTGACCAATTGGACTATACACCAATGTGAGAAAACCTGAAACGAGAGATCACTGTTTCGCATATTAGACTGTTAAAAGACACATGAAATGGAACAGGATACTTTGTCGGCTGAAGATGAATGGCATATCATTCCTTTATGTGGATATTGATGGATACATTCCCCGAACAAGGCAATAGCCTGATATTGTTGCTATAACTTTAGTCTGTTTTAATTTTAATATTTGCATTTTGTTTTTATTTATTTGTTATGCCATTCAACAGAATCATCAGGGCGTGTGTGTGAAATATGATGCACGTTGGCAATCTATAAAATGTCTAGATATTACAGTCATGTTATAAATTCACTAAGTATAAGCAGATCGTGTGCATTATATTAAGTTTCAAAATGCATACAAATATGATAATAAACTAATTAGGATTATAAGACAAAACATAAAGATGTACATTGACTTCGTTATTTCAGTCCAAATATTATTTACCAAGGGCAGATGGTTAAACTGAAAATGTTTTAATTTGTTATTAAAATAATGCCATTTAATACAACATTCAGATTGACTAGCAGTGAACCTAAGCTCATAACTATCCCAAAGTCTCTGTACTTAGTTAGCCTTACTTTCAAACAATGCTATTGTATCAGGCTTCTCACCAAATTCAGGGTCAAACTATTTCTTAAATCAAATTTTACATCCATTTACGTTAACAATTTTTATGAAGTCAGCCTTACTATGAAATCAAAATATTACATCAAAATCAGCATTTTTATCAAAGTGAATATTTTTGTATAAGAAACAAAATTATTCATCAAAGTCTACATAATTTTACCACAAAATCATCATAAGATTATCGAGTAAAAAGATTTCATCTTTGTTGATCAGTCTATACTTATACTATCAATTGCGCATGAGGGTGGCGCAGCAGAGGTAACGAAACAGTCATGAATTCTGGGATATCATCCGGGTAGTCACTGGAGAAAAACAATAACAAAAGCAACAACCAGTCCACGAAAATTACTCTGGATCAGTGGCCCTTTAATATTGATGAGTACCAGATGTGATCATTACAAATTGATCATTACAAATGTGGCGTCTAACGTACGCGACTCTGTCGTAGGTTCCAGACATTGAAAATCTCCGACGGACTCCATTCTTTGGGCGGGATAAGATGGCATCTTGCAGTGTGTCTGATCATCACCAACATCATCCTATTCCTGTGGATATTTCAAGGCATCAAGGTTTCAGGCAAGGTAACTTGTAGGAACTTGCAATTCAATGCTAACGACGCCATTATATAATTTAACACACTTGATTGTTGATTCAGCTCCACTACATGATAATACTTCGGCAACGTTGTGAGGGGCGTTAGAGATTTGTTTGTTTGTTGTGTAAAGCTCACTCAACAATATCCCGGCCGAATGGCGGCAGTGTGTGGACCAGACAATACTGTGATCAACAACATGAGCATCGATTTACGCAATTTGGATACGATGACATGTGTCAACCAACTCAGCGAGCCTGACCACCCGATCCCGTTAGTTGCCCTTTGCGATAAGCATTGGTTGCTGAAGACTAATTCTTACCCGGATCTTCAAGGGTTGAAAATCATAGGTTGACTGTGTGTTTGTGTTACACTCCAACTGTTGTACCAGGTGATCTGCTGCTTGCTGAAGATCAATTCTAACCTGGATCTTCACGGATCGTTGTACTGATGCTGCTTCTGTAAGGACGCAGTGTTACATTGTTCGGTTGTTACTGTCATATGTGACTGTCAGTAAATTCACCAGTGTGCTTTTTATTTATGCGTGTAAGCAACCGATCACCTGATCCCGTTAGTCGCCTCCTAGGACAAGCATGGGTTTTTGTAGGACAAATTCTAACCCGGGTCTCCACGGGTTGGGCGTCAGTGTCGTTCTGTTTCATTCAGGTCGTTTCTCACAAGGTTTTGTTTGTTAAGCTTTCCCACGTGTTGCGTTGGAATTGTCAACTGTGCGTGCTGTGTAGAGAGTGTTGTTACTTTCAGCGTATTTGTATGTCAGTGGTGTCAAGATCTTTTCAATACATTCAGCTTATCTGTCTTATGCCCTAGATTTTGATTCATTCAGCTCGTCTATGTCACTGTGGGCGTTCCCTACATCCTCATCACCGTCTTCCTCATCCGGGGCTCCCTACTTCCGGGATCAGCGGATGGCATGGCTTATTACATCTACCCGAGGTTCGAGAAACTGCGAGACCCCAAGGTAAGTACATGTAGATTATGGCTTTTATTGTCGCAAGGTGCATACATGAAGAATATCTAATGGAAATATATCACCCCTTAACCAGACCATGCATAAGACATTTGAAAACCATGTTTTAAGGAACGATTGCACTCACAATAATTTGATTTGCCTGATTTTCCTGTTTATCGTTCGAAGTACATGTATTGGTACCAATTATTTTGTTTGGGGAGGGTAGGAGGATGGTTGAAGACAATGTTTCTGAAGGTATTGCTGTTTTGCAAAGATGCTAATAGTTTCACAGCAAACAGTATATGTAAGTTAATGTCGATGTTTTAAATAGATACGCTCAATGGAACATGGTAAGTGTATTTTTGGTTTTGTGATGAACGAAAACAATGTAATTCAAGGTGCAATAGCTTGTACTGCATATAGCTACCACCTGCAAATACTCTAAAGCTGTGAGGTGTGCGAAAACAACAGAGTTTCTTGGCTCCTGGAAAAATATCTACACTGCTTGTTTCCTTCTGTTATTCGAGGTATGGGTGGAAGCTTGCAGCTACGCTTTGTATTCCATGGGTGTTGCTTCCGGGTGCATCATCACAATGTCTGGTCACAACAGAATCAACAACAACTGCTTCAGGTAAGATGAATAAGAGCTTGTTCGGAATCTTCTGTCATGGACAGACTGACTCCTGGTTTGGAACACGTCCCCAGTAACCCACCCTGGTTATACATTTATATTACATACGCATGGCTGAGCCTAAGATCTCCAGCTGAGATTGTAGTCCAAGATTAGTTCAAACTGTCATTTGGATCCGACCTCTCGGAAGGGATTATGATCATTGCTGTCCCTAAATCAAATGGACAAAAATAGCTAAACAGTTAGGCAACGATATGTCAAAGTCCACACCTGAGACGCATTGCATACAACATTGCATGAATGAATAACCATTAACAGCAACCACTCACACTAAGTCCAGAAATAAGCGTGTGTTTGTCGCTGACGCCGTAGTTCTCCTGCCATGCGAGGGCAGAATGCAAGCAAACCAGGCAATCACTCGATGGTCCAGACATCCAGTAACACGAAACTGCACTGTTTCGTTAAACGGTAAAAACGACATGTTAATTTCGAAATAACTCCCTTGAGTGCAGAGTGTTTGCTAAGGTAATGTTTGGCATGTTTGGCACTATCTTCTAAGTTTTCTAATGAGGTGGTGGGGCAAGAGGTGACCAACAAGACCGGTCGCTCAGGTTCGGTCACTTGGCCGATAAATGTCAACATTTACCGCAGATCGATGCTAATGTCAATCACCGTGATCAACAACATGGGCATCGATGTACTCAATTTTGAAACGGTGACATGTGTTAACCAAGCAGCGATCATATTAGTATGGATTATATTTAAGAGAGAGAATCACTTGATCAATGATCACATCATTGTTGCTAAAGTTCGAGTTTCTATGTCAACCTTTTTTCGTTATGCGTCATGATTACGGTGTCTATATTTCCTAGAAAGGTGCAGATTACTGACCTCCGATTTCCTTCAACTTCAGAGATGCCATTGTGGTGTGTCTGGTTGACGTCATCACCACCGTCTACGTAGGGCTAGCTTTCTTCGCCATAATCGGTCACGTGGCCTACCTACGCGGCGTAAGTATCGATGCATTCGAATCATCAGGTGAGTATCACATCGATACCTATATGAAAGTTACGCTAAACAAGCGAAAATGTTGGCAATGTATAACGAAGGGATAATTCTGAAATGATACCCATTCAGTATCTAATAACGTCAGCATTTATGAACGACTGGACTTGGATGTCGTGGGTGTTTCTTGGGTCAAATGCATGTGTGAAGGCAGTACTGATTTATGAGTTTCTAAATCTCTTATTGTCAATGTGCGTTCCTTTCTCAAACAAGCGAGGTTACTATACTACAAACAAAAAGTATGAGAACACCCTAAAATTTGATAGTCATATATAAACGTAAACGTGGTGAGGTTATTTATACTCTAGTGCAATGTTTTGTGTGATTAATGGGCTCTTTAAACAATGTGTTAGAACAGGCAGTGAAGCAACTGATTCAATATTCGTCGAGTTTGAGTGAAATAAACATTGTAAAAAACAGCGAAAAACAAAAAATAAGTTGTAAACAAGCGAAGAAGATAAACACTCTACTATAACAATGTTTTGAAAAGAAATCTATCTACTTCCGACATGGAATATGCTTCCCGGCACCGTATCTTTAGCTTTGGAGGTACTCCCCTAATCCCTTCGAAATAAGCTCTCCCGAGAAATCCGAAATATACATTTGAGCCTTCCCGGGACTTTCGAAAAATAAACTTTAGCCTTCCCGGCACGACACCTCACTCACTCACATCCCTCACTCATCTTTGCACCCCCCGACAACCCCACGCCATAACTCTCAAATATTCGAGTTCGCCTTTGACATAGATATTTACAGCTAACTACAACTTATACGTCGATTTTGTTCAGAGAGTGTTATTTGGTGTTTATGAATGCCTTGCCTTTTATAACATTGGTTTTTTCATATTACAGGTTTCAACTTGGCGTTCATTGTCTATCCTGAAATACTGGCTTATTTGCCTCTATCCCAGATGTGGTCGGCGTTAACCTTTATCACTTTGATGACACTTGCTATTGACTCAATGGTGAATGAATACCGTACATATTCTACGACTGTTGATTCGATGGTTAAAGACACTACTACTTGCGACACGCCGTAAAATGCAAAACGTTCACTACTTCCGATTTCTGAATATTGAAATATGAAAATTACCTCAAGGCATGATAACTGTTTGGTAATTGAAAATCACTTGCTTGATGTGTAAATATTGTCCCACCAGTAAATACAAACCACTTTTATTATCTGCAATATGAACATATTGTCCCGCTGATAAATTCAAACCACTTTACTATCTGCGATATGTACATAATGACTCACTCTCCGACTCTCTCACTCACCTACTGTGCAGGTGCCCGGGATAGAGATCATCGTTTCAGCAATAGAAGACCATTTGCCCCGCTTGTCTAAGAAACAGTCTTGGGCTGTGAAATGTGTCGTCATCCTCAGCATCGCCCTATTTGGCCTCATATACATTTCAGAGGTACGCCGGCATTTGTCTCGTCACAGTGTGCATGGGGCAGGACTTAAAAGAGAATAGCTGAATGGAACGAAACATCAGGGTAGACACCTGGTGTCATCACTGATGTTCAGTGACCCATTGATACCATTTTAACCGCTATTTCAACTAGTACTCACATTGGAATCTCTTTTAGCAGATAATCAAAACTATTTATTTTCTGGTGTTGACGATTTATGTTCACATGCAGAGGTTAACTGTGAGTAGTGTTCACCAAAGATGCTGTGTATAATGACGCATGCAGTATTGGTAACAGGTTACTTTTCTGTTCATTTGTTATACACCTTAAATTTGATGCTAGCGTATGCAAGGATCAACGTTTGCTTCAATCTCATTCATTCTATATTGAATATTGGATATACGTTGTAATCATACCTGCTGCACTTCCTCGGGGAGATAGACGAACTGACATTATATATTTCACATTTAGGGTGGGATATACGTGCTGACGCTGTTTGACTGGTTCGTCATCTTTCCATCCATAGCAGTATTTGCCATCCTGGAGTGTCTCGTTGTAGGCTGGCTGTATGGTGAGTTCCTGTGTTGATGTCCCGGAGTGTGCCATGGGTGTACGGTGAGTTCCTGTGTTCATAGCTCGGAGTATGTCATGGGTGTATGGTTGAGTTCCTGTGTTCATAGCTCGGAGTATGTCATGGGTGTATGGTTAGTTCCTGTGTTCATAGCTCGGAGTATGTAATGAGTGTATGGTGAGTTCCTGTGTTCATAGCTCGGAGTATGTCATGGGTGTACGGTGAGTTCCTGTGTTCATAGCTCGGAGTATGTCATGGGTGTATGGTAAGTTCCTGTGTTGATTGCTCGGAGTATGTCATGGGTGTATGGTGAGTTCCTGTGTGTTCATACATGGGTGTATGGTGAGTTCCTGTGTTGATTGCTCGGAGTATGTCATGGGTGTATGGTGAGTTCCTGTGTTGATAGCTCGGAGTATGTCATGGGTGTATGGTGAGTTCCTGTGTTGATAGCTCGGAGTATGTCATGGGTGTATGGTGAGTTCCTGTGTTGATAGCCCGGAGTATGTCATGGGTGTAGTGATGATCATGTCATGGGTGTATGGTGAGCTCCTGTGTTCATAGCTCGGAGTATGTCATGGGTGTATGGTGAGTTCCTGTGTTGATAGCCCGGAGTATGTCATGGGTGTATGGTGAGTTCCTGTGTTCATACCTCGGAGTATGTCATGGGTGTATGGTGAGTTCCTGTGTTGATTGCCCGGAGTATTTTGTGGACACCTTGTACTCATTAAGAAACACATACTTGTCTTACGGTCGGAATCGTACAATAGGCTTTGATACAAGCGGATGTTTGCTGAAGTTGTGGAAAATGTTTTTGTCAATTTTATTTACAGGAACACAGCGATTACAAGACGCTATCGATGCTATGTGGGGTAAACGAATTCCTCGAGTTTTTGAGCTCTGTATGAAATACGTGTGTCCCTTGCTGTTCCTCGTAAGTATGGGGCTCATGGAATTCACTCTCAGCCACAGAGAGATTCATTCGCTTGTACATACTTTACTTTGGAAGTTGATTGTCTGATTGTGAGAGTACCGCACTGACATTGGAATGCGGTCTGATCTGTGAAAGAGGTCAGGGGGTGGTTGGGTCAACGCTGGTTGAAGAGTAGCACGGCATGCGAGCTTGATTCGGCTCTTAGACGTTTTACCATTCTGTTTCAAGGAAATGGTCTGTTTTTTTATTTTATTACATGGATAGAGGACGATGTGAACATCAGAAACAGATGGGTAAACCGTTTGTAATTGTGTCTGCTTTACGTTGACCTTTTCTGTCCTGATCTTCACATTCGTATTCAAAATGTACGAACGGGTATGGCGTGAACAAACCAGGAACCTATATCGTAGCAATTCGGGATTCGAATCCTAGGTTCCTGGTGAGCACAAGGGGCGCAACTCAGCACAGCTAGTTACGGCTGCTTACATGTATTGGCCGCCCGGACTATGGGAGAGTCTTTTTCAATGTGTTCTCGCTTGCATTTAGTCACATGGATATGTGAATGCTGCAAGGTTTTATCTGCAGTCTGTGGTTGATGACTTGGTTGTACTTATAACTGTGCTTTTCTTTTCAACAGTGTTTACAATCCTTGACGTTCCGTCAAATTGGAAGGAGTTTGCATTCAAACTCCGATCCACAAAATTCCCACCATAACACTACAGACCCATAGTTCCATGGAGCTTATGTATGCATGCACCCATCAAGCAGTGAACCAATACACCTATTGGGTAGCCTAGTGGTTAAAGCGTTCGCTCGTCACGCGGAAGACCCGGGTTAGATTCTCCACATGGGTAAAATGTGTGAGGCCCAATTCTGGTTCCCCCCACCGTGACATTGATGGAATATTCCTTAAATACGGCGTAAAACAAAATTCACTCACTCCTCATACTCGTACAGCATGTCTGGCCAAGTGCTCTTGTGGACTGAATGTCGCTATGAATCCATTAACTGTAGGCTCGGATCCCTCTTCCGCCCTGCCCGATTCATTCTGATCTTACGTTTGTTTGCTTCATATCCACGATTTTAGACATTTCGTCCTCATCATTTGTGACTCTCCCCTCGCGTTGTGTTAAAGCATGACTATGTACATTGGTATTCTAACTGCCTGAATCAACTTTGGTTGGTCAGACTCGCTGACTTGGTTGAGGTATGTCATCGAATCCCAATTGTGTAGATCGATGCGCATGCTGTTGATCACTGGATTGTCTAGTCCAGACACGATTATTTACAGACCGCCGCCACATAGCTGGAATATTGCTGAGTACGACAGCTCAATATTTTGCCTTTGAATCTATTTAACTTTATCAAATATTTCACCCCCAAAATAACTATAAATTTACAGAATCTACAAAATGCATACTGAATAGTCTTTTTAGACTGATTCTTCCTTGATAATCATTTAATTATGGTAATCCTGTATAAATACTTCAGGTGGTCTTTGCCTATTCCCTCTATGCCTACCGTCCACCTAAATATGGCGACTATAACTTCCCCGGATGGGCCACAATCATTGGGTGGATGATCTCCCTTGTTTCCATATTACCAATCCCCATCGTATTCACGTGGAAGGTCTACAGAGCACCCGGGACTTCACTTGTCGAGGTATTTGTCTTATCCATTGTATGAAAAATGGAGTTACGTTTCCATTAAGATTTAAGTATACATACTTATGTTGTCTCTGTGCTGACAGTTGTACAGGAATGAGTGTCAACTAAGCCAATGACCATGTCAAATCAGCACTCAGATTTGGGTCAGGAAAGGGTCTGTTATATGTTTTATCAAATAGAGGATGGTATGAACATTCATTCACAATTATGGACGTTTTATATAGATGGTACCAAGATGTTCTACATGTAGCTGTATGCATGTGTCATTATTGACATATATTGACAGAGCGAAGTTATATAGGTTTTGAACCTACTAAGGGCTAATATGTTTCTTTTGTAAAAGTACACGCTTAAAGAAATGTCAAAATATATTCGTTTATCTGAAACAAAGCTGAAAAAAGCGTTTTAATTATCTTTGCTTTACATTGACGGTTTCCGTCCCAATCTTCATGTTCGTATTAAAAAGTGGAATTAATATCATTCCAAATCTTTGCGTAACAACATGCTTCGACTGAACTTAAACGTTAATCTTCTCAACTAACGAATCACCACACCTGTTGCAGTCTTGTTAGACTAATGCTTAGTCTCTGAATATATATACTTTTGATAGTAACAAACAAACCCATTTAAATTGAAAAGGAGCCCCAGGGAGACCAGAGATTCAGAGGCTTTAGCACTGAGAGGGTTTGGCAGTAGGGAACATAATGTGGTTCAGGGACTGTGAGACAGACTACAGTCTTGTAGATCGTATCAGCTGACTTTTGACTTCTAGAAAAGGTAATTGATTAGTTGAATCTTGACGTGGCAAATACATGTGCTGCGGGCATGGGCATGTTTACCTTACCCATCAGTACAGTGCTAAAGACAGAGAAGTAATCATATCAATTCTTTACACTATTCACACACACGTCATGATTTAACAAAGCAGTTACTTATCAAGAACTCACATATGGGCTACATAACTCTCAACAATGACATTTGTTCCAGAAACTGAAAAGGGCTATAAAACCAAAGAAATGCTGGGTCCCTTCATCCCAGGAAGAACCACCATACACCGCAGTTCTTCAGCCAATGCTTTAAACCTTTGTACCACAGCCAAACATTGTTGTGTCAAACTTTGATGTGTCGAACTGACAGTTGTCTTGAAGTAAACGCTTGGTAGCTTTTCCCTGTCTAGTTATTCCTTGTGTAGTCGTCAGTTTACGGTTGTGTCGAATCTGGGATAACTCGAAGTATTTACTCAGTTTCCTTCAACTTCGACTCAGCCGAGTTTGATAGTATTTTCAGGTTGGTTGGTTGTTATTTAACGCCGAACTCCAACAGCAATAGTCCAACTATATGGCGGAGGTCTGTAAATAATCGAGTCTGGACCAGACAATCCAGTGATCAATAACTTGAACATCGATCTACGCAGTTGGGATACGGTGACATGTGTCAACCTAGTCAGCGAGCCTGAGGATCAATTCTAACCTGGATCTTCACGGGTCAGTGTATTTACTATGGCGCACAGGAGCTCTGATGTTGTGTCCGTAAAGACGTACTCTTACATTGTCCTGTTGTACCTGTCAAAACTGATTGTCAGTGAATGTATCAGTATCGACGTTTGATGTTTATATACGCGTGTATGCAAGCTTATCACATGTCAATCTGCAGCCAATGAGCCCACGGTCAACGTCGAACGTTCAGATAGCCGGTATCTTATAATTCAAAATCTTCAGACAGTTCATCATTATCGGTATTCTTTCAGGTTACTCCTTGTGTTAATCGAAGGATTCTTCGGTATCGTTGTCCCTAAGTGTCCCATTTTCATCTTGGGAAGAATTTTGAAGTAAAAGGTATATCCCGGCTGATGCAGTTCAGGGTCATGGTCCATTTCACTACATTTTAAGCTCTGTTCTCCAGTGATGAAAAGGAGGTTTAGTGTATTTTGGGACACCGACACACATATAGAGTAGACATGTACAGCAAATAAGACAAATATGTGCGAATGCAGATTCCAGACAGTATTGTTCAGATTTTCAGTAGAAGAGTCTATACCATAGTAGCTTGCAGTGGTGATAGTAGATGTCTCGGAACCATATTTCTCTCCAGTGATTTCAATGAAGATTCGGGACATCATCGAGTATTCCCGAATCTCATTCCCTCGGAGGGACGGTGTGACTCCCATTTAAGGTGTCCCCCGCTGTGATCTTGCTGAGATATCGCTAAAAGCGGCGTAAAACAATACTCACTCACTCATTGCCTAAACTTGTATAAGTTTTCAAAGTTCCTACAAAAAATCGTTAGGAAATCATATCCTTCTTTTAGTTCTGCCAGGGTAAGGACGGGTTTGATGACGTAATGCCATGCAATGCCATACAGCTTCCAAAACTGAAAGTATTTGTAGGGAACACGGGCCTAAGAATGGTTGATGAATAATACAACGTCCAGTGCCTCCATTTACCAGGGGGCGGTGGGATAATCCAGTGTTTAAAGCGTTCGTTCGTCATGCTGATTCCCTACTTGGGTACAATGTGTGAAGCCCATTTCTGGTGTCCCCCGCTGTGATATTGCTGGAATATTGCTAAAAGTGTCGTAAAACTATACTCACTCACACATCCGAAGACATTCTGAAGTTTCCTCAGAATATGACCCATGTCAGTTGGGACATCAATGGAGCTCACGTAATCTTGTACTCGACACAGAATATTTTGTGCAAAAACATTTGTGTTCGCCAGACTGTCCGACAAATGCGTTTGGCTATCTCAAGAACGATATACATCGGGCCAATAGCTGTAAATCTAGCAGAGTCACAGTAACAAAGCCTCAAGAACTCCGTGTATCGTACACAAACGACTTTAGAGTGAAATCAGCAATTAGAAAATATGAGCGACCAATTTCTGCTAAAAGAGTAGATTGAACAATCCCGACTGTATAATGAATACGTGTTGACTCAGTATCAAATGGCGATGATATCAGAAAGAAACGTTATACAATTAACAATTGTGTTTTCAAATTAACAGTATGTACAAACCAATACTCATTACTTCAAAAACAATTACAGTGGCAGTAAGCATTAGTCTGGCAATACGAAAGGTACGATACTTTATGGATGCCAACTTCTTTATTATATTATGTTGCGACGTTTTGGTATATATTACTCCCCTCTTGCGTGACAACGGTATAAGAACGTGTACAAAACGTCGCATCATAATATAATAAAGAAGTTGTGATCCAAGGTATCATATGATTGCACAAAGCCCTTTTATAGACTGGTCAAATGTAACATATGGTTTATTTGGGATTACACTTTCTTAGTAAAGTACATATTCTAGTACTCTTGTTGGGTTGTGTCCCATCACACTATGATAAAGAAGTTGTGATCCAAGGTATCATACCTTTCTTATTATACATTAACTTCTAAAATGCCAATCAGACATTTCATTTAGTCTGGCAGTATAACATCAATGGCAATACGATTACATTTATAGCATTTATTAGCAGTTGAAATGGCAATACAATCAGCATTAATAATACTCACCTACAACAACCATGGCCAAGATTCAGAAACAGGCCCAACCTGGATATCCAGATCAGAAATATCTGTCTTCACAGACTGCTGGTCGTGATGAAGTGTGAGATGACTCAGAGGTCCGTTTATGGTGCGACCCAGAATGTGTGGAAAGTGTGATGGAAAACGACCATCATAAAGATCCTCAGAACAAATAGACCCGTGAAGGTCCGGGTTAGAATGAGCCCTCATTAACCCATGCTTGTCGTAAGAGGCGACTAACGGGATCGGGTGGTCAGGCTCGCTGACTTGGTTGACACATGTCATCGGTTCCCAATTGCGCAGATCGATTTTCATGCTGTTGATTACTGGATTGTCTGGTCCAGACTCGATTATTTACAGACCGCCACCATATAGCTGGAATATTGCTGAGTGCGGCGTAAAACTAAACTCATTCACTCACTCACTCAGAACAAATACATTAATGTAATGATTTATATCATTGAACTCGCTACCCCTTCTTACACAAATGCGATTGCAAAGACTCAGGAAAGAACATGGTAAATATGCAGAACTCGCTTACTAACTGTCACGCTTGCATCCGAATTGAAGTTGTCCATCTCACCATCGCTCTCGGTGCCTCAGCTTTGGTACTTCCCGTTCTGTTGACTGACACTGGTAAAGCAAAAAGGCTAAAACGTAAACGTTTCTGAGTTAAGGGCGCCCAACATGTCAGGCTGTAATCCCTTTGCTGCATTTATTAATATAATCTGAAGAAGAAATGGTGTAATGATTGATCTACATGAAATGGTGACATTCTGTCCTGAATTCATTTATACCAGCTAACCTCGTTTCGACTTGCGAAGGACATTGTAGCAGTACACTCCAGTATTTCTGTTTTGTGAGATGTCATAATGCAGGGAGATAGTATAGCGTGAGTGTGAATGATCCACCGCAAAAATGACATGTATATACATGGAGCATATTTAAGCAACCAATCCCCCCACACACACACACACACACACACACAACCACCACCAACCCTTCTCCTATTGTAGCACAGTGGCACGTTGAACAAAAAGGTGTAGTATTCATTTGCCTGATCATCTGATGGAAAATTGAACACTTGCCTGCAGACAACAAAAATGTAGGTAATATGTTAGTTTGTATGCTCTGTACATGACAAATGCCAGTAAGGTTGATTCTTATTTTAAATACAGTTTACTGAGTATGTAATAATCTGCCACGACATATGATGAAATAGCGCCGGATATCGTATCTGTCTAAACCACTAACAATCTATGGAGGTGTGTCCGAAACGATAGGATGACAGCCTCCAACCTTCTCCTCATGCAACTAGTGAGCCTACGGAGAAGTTCCTGAGGCAATTGCCTCCTACTCACCCACATCTTGTACAGGAGACACCCTTGCCTCCAAACGACGACCAACAATATCCAAGACGTGCTCGACTGGGTACCGATCAGTATGTCCATATGTCTTTATGTCCATGTTGCAAGTCATGGGAGAGCCTCAATATAGTATTATTCTGCAGGAACCTCTCCGAACACACACACACACACACACACACACACACACACACACACACACACACACACACACACACACACACACACACACACACACACACACACACACACACACACACACACACACACACACACACACACACACACACACACACACACACGTTGTCACCATTGAATGGGGGGCTGGTATGAATTGGGTGGTCGCCAAAATTAGTCACAACTTGATTAAGAACGCTCGTGATGCAACGCTGGCCATTAATAATTCCCCATACAGTCACCATTGTCAACGTACAGTCATGGGAGACACATTCCTACACCATAACTGTGCCTCCACCAAAGGGAACAGTAGGATGACTGTTCTTCGGCACATAAGCAGTGATACGCTTTAAGGCGGTTGGGCATCCAGAGCTGCTTCAAGCGAGTGCTCGTGACGAAGGGCTAACGCCTCATGTATTGACCAAATTTTGAAAAGTTGGGAAGCGTTTATTTATATAAATCTGAATGATGAAGAGGAGAAGAAGACGAAAATGAACATTCTGTTCTGAATTCATTTACAGCAGTAACAGTTTGCAAATTTGAAAAGCTTCCTCTCGCTGCCACTTGTTAACGTACTCCTGTGACTGGCGATGGGCGGTTTAGTAGTGCAACCTACTTTGACTGAAGCATTTCTGCCTTTGTGCCAGGTCATAATGCAGCGAAATGGTATTCCGTGGCTGTGAATAATATTACTAATGATGTATAATGAGAGAGAGTAGTAGCAGGTTTGAGGAGCGAGGAAGAGAAGGAGAGACATAAGCACTCGTTACATCTGAAAGGATACATCGGCAGAGATACAGGTTAGAAACCCATAGAAGATGTCACAATGGACAGAGCCATAATATTCCTTCACTTGGGTCTTGAACTTTACAAAATATTTTACCCCACACGAATTCAGGTGGGACGAAGACATGTGTCTTTCCAATAACAGGGGCGTAGCTACCATTAAGAAAAAACACAGGCTTACACAGGCTAAAAAGGTTGGGCAAACCCTCAATACTGTCTAAATATAAAGCTTTGCAACCTTTCGGGCTTACACGAAAAATATGGCTTGATGCGCGCCTAAATAATCCTTAGCTATGGTTAATATGAC